TTTATTTTGTTGTTCATTTTGAACTGCATTATCACCAATCTCACGGTCCTCACCCACATCCACATTGTCATACTCATCACTATCACATTCTACATCATTACCAATAGGCTCTTCCTCATTTTGCTCGAGAGGATTACTGTCAACAATTGTATTAGAACCCTCCATCTAAACACCAAAAAAACACATACTTACAAAATATTAAAGAAAAAAACTAATAATGTAATAAGACATGAGACATCTTAATATCCACTGTTTTAACACCAACAGTCCAAGTCCAAGACTACAAGTGTCCAACAAGGCAACAATCCAACATAATAAGTTAACAACTAAATAAATAACAAATTCAGAACAACAATTTATTATTTATATTTGTGTATTGTGTAATCACTAATTCACTGTAATTAGTGTAATGGCAAAAGATAAATGAAAACATTGAAAAGCAGATTTCCTGAGTCCCAACTCCCAACCCGCAGGCCGCAGAGGCGTAGCCGGCATGGCGGCATGCCGTGCCGGTGCCGACATATGAGATGCCAAAAGACTCAAAAGACATTTATCAAACTCAAGAATATGATAAACAACAGGACTGCAAGCCCTTATCTACAAAACCAAATGTCAAAATGACAAAAACAGCAAACTGCAAACCCTAATCTACAAAAACTGCAAACCCTAACTTCCAGATTGATAAAGTGTGAAATAAAGGAAGAGTAGAAATAATGTAGAATAGTAGATCAGTCGATTAGAAACCAAAACTCAGCCAAAATACTTCTAAAAAAACGAAACCTAAATTATTCATGAGTAATGAGTTCACTACTTCACTGACTAGTGATTACAGTAAATTCCAAATGGTGCGAAGTGCGAACGACGAACGGCCTGGAGAGTGGAGGAAGGCAAGAAGCAAGAGACTGAGAGAGTCGGAGAATGGCGTCGCGTCGGACGATCAGAGTCTCGGAGTCGGAGATAGAGAAACCCTAACTTAGAAATGAGAAATCCCTCACTCAGCTATCCGCTCGCTATTAAAACCCTTATTGACGCGGGTTGTTTTCGGGTCGGAATCGGGTTACCGGGTTAACCCGAACCCGACCCGATTGTTATACGGGTCCAAATTTAAAACCCGAACCCGACTCGTTTATTAAACAGGTCAACCCGAACCCGAATTTTTCGGGTCGGGTTCAGGTCGGGTTTTCGGGTCGTGTCAGTTGTTGACAGCCCTATCCCTGATCGAGCTTTTCCTAATTTGTTCGTATTATTATAATATTAGCCGTTAATTTATAATCAAACCAGCCTTCTGTCAAATGAATTAGCGACGTTGATCTCTCTCTCTCTCTCCTCTGACAGTCTGGCTTCCCCCGTCCATCTCTCTCTCTCTCTTCTCTCCACCTCTTGTCCTCTTCTTCCTTTCCATCTAAATAACAAGAGTAAATTCCCTGAGCGTCTCCAATGTTGATCGGAATAAGAGAAGGAGAAGGGCGGCTGGGCAGGAAAAGAAAGAAATCAGCTGCTTCTCCTCCTCCTCGTCTTAATTTATCATCGCTTGCAGAGATGAGTCTCTTCGGCTTTGGAAACAGGTCCATCTAATACCAATCTGATTTTCTTCCCTTACATTTGAGATTCTGCTGTCTTTTCTTTCATTGTTTGTTAGAAATCTGAATAAAAATTTTGATTTTAAAAAGATTTTTCATTTTTATGTGCTTGAAATCTGTGTTGGCTCCATATATTTTCCTGAAGAAATGTTTGCGTTCTGTATTCTGTTGTTGGCAGAAATCTGAAAACCTTCCGGCCCAAGAAAAATGCTCCTTCTGGAAATAAGGTTGGCCATGTATTCCTTCATTATATTTATCATTATTATTTTATAGCTTAATGCATTAATATTTCAGGAATAATTATCAATCATGTATTTTTAATTAATGTGTTGATTATCATATATTAATTATGATAATTATATTTATTAATTTAATATGTACATTTTTTAATATTTTATTTATTAATGTTAATATTTTTTTTGAAAATGTTGAAACACAAATTTGATATAAAGAGCATTTAGTTTCAAGTCATTAATAATATTTTTAATATATTTTATTAAATGAATTTGATGTCAATTACTATTATTCATAATTTTAGAAAGTTTTCAAATTTCATTAAAATAAAATGGTAGATTATAGTTGCAAATCAAATATGAACAACTTGTAGTATAATCAAACCTCGTCCAGTCCATAATATCCTTAGCTCAGCTCGATTATAGCTAGCCCTATTCTTGGATTAATTAATTATTCTATGCAAATGTGGAACGTTGTCTGGAGACCAACTAGAATGCGCCACGTCTCTCCTTCGCTCGGTGTCACTGATGTGACATATTATGGTTGGTCTCCGGACGACGTTCTATGCATCTGGCCTCCACACAAAATAATTTCTCCGATTCTTGATATTGAAAACATCAATATTTTCTTTAGTCCTAATTATCTTATGATGCTTATTGGTATGATAGTTAAGGAATGAGAATTTGTAGAGTTATATGAGGTGATGTAGAGAATAATCAAAACTTTTCGGCTCACATTGGGCTCTTAAAAGAAAATATTTCCACATTGAAGGACTATAGATTTTTCCTTTATAAACTCATGTAAATGAACTGTCTGATTTTTTAAAAAAAAATTCATTTTTATCATTTAGGGTGTTCAGCTCAGAAAGTACATTGATGCAACCTTGGGTACTGGAAACATAAAAGAGGCTGTTCGATTACCCCCTGGAGAAAATCTTAATGAGTGGCTTGCTGTCAACAGTAAATCTCCTACCTTCATATTTCCATCAAAACAATAATATTAGCAATCTGCATTGTATTTCTCTGTCAGTCATTTCTGCTTATCATGTTTATTGTTATTAATTAGTCATTTCTAGCTGCCTTTCCTCTTTCTTTCGGAAAATTATTACGTCCGGATACTAATTCAGATGCGTCACGTCACCCAGATACATCCGGCCCAGTGTATCCAGGTGATATGGCACGTCTGAATTGGTGTCCGGACGGTCCGGTGACTTGACGTAATAATTCGCCCTTTCTTTCCTCTCAGTTGGCTCTTTTGAAGCATTTTTTTATTCAATGAATGATTTCTTCACCTTTTCCTTTGCTACAGCGATCGACTTCTTCAATCAGGCAAACTTTTTGTATGGCTCTCTCACGGAATTTTGCACACCTACTACCTGCTCAACAATGTCAGCAGGGCCAACGTATGCTTTTTGGCCATTAGTTTTTGTCTTTTGTTCTATGAAATATTCAATGCTCTTATAGTTATTGATAATGTAGAATCTTGAATGAGAGGAATGAGTTCTTCCTCTAGTGATTCTTGAGAGAGGAGGGAGATAGGAGGGAAAAGGTGAGAGAGAGAACATAAAACTAAAAATGATTTATTGCTTGATGGCTTTGATACCTAATTACAAGCTATCATATCTATTTATAGACACTAAGGCTTCGTTTGGGATGGCTTTTTAATTTTTGTACTAAGAAGCCGCTTTAAGAAGCAAGAAAAAAGCCGTCCCAAACGAAACCTAAATATTAACACCAAAAGCTACGTAATAAACTAAACAAAGCCTCATAAAAGGCTACAAAGAAACCTAACTAAAGAAAGTAGAGATTTTGGACCAATTACAACAGATAATGAATATTTATTTGTAAGAAAATTCTTTAACTATGTTGGGTTTTCATAGGGTTGAATATAGATGGGCTGATGGAGTTAAGATAATAAAGCCTATAGAAGTATCTGCACCCAAATATATGGAGTATTTGATGGATTGGATTGAAGCTCAGCTTGATGATGAGTCAATATTCCCACAAAGGATTGGTACAGCTTATGTTTCTAATATACTTTTTTTTTATGTGATTTATTTAAAATATTGATGCTTATGATAAATGACATTTTATTTCTCAGGCTCACCTTTTCCTCCCAATTTCCAAGAAATCATCAAGACAATTTTCAAGCGATTATTTCGAGTCTATGCTCATATCTACCACTCACATTTTCAGAAGATTATTTTTCTCAAAGAAGAAGCTCATCTAAATACCTCTTTCAAGCATTTTACATTTTTTACGAGGGTAAGAAGCATGTTTTACATTCACTTTTTATTAAGTGAGGATACCGGACGGAGAGAACTGTCTGATTTTCTCTCTGTCTACAATCAAAGCGTAGCTGTTACAGTAATTGCACTTTGACTGTAAACAGAGAGAAAACCGGACGGTTTTCTCCCGTCCGGTGCCCGCACACAATAATCTCTCATAATATAGAGTTATTTATCTTTATATAATCATTGAATGCCTGATTATTAGCCATCATTTTGCTTCCTATTTGGGAAAATGTTTTAGAATTCATTGTTTTGTTCAGCTTAATGCTTCAATTTGAAATTTCTCTTTGAAAATCTTTAGATGTTGGAACACTACTGCTCATCTGAAGTACTTTATCTTACTTTAAAGGCATTTTCCAGTCAAACAGCAAGACTTTGGGCCTATGAGTAATGGTTAAGTTGACTGCATTGTGATTGATTGGCTTGAATCATGAAAGTTGGCTCTTTACATGTAACGGTTAGGCTGAGTACATCAAACCCACACTAAACCCGACATCGGTTGAAGCCAAATGCAACTGACTTTCCACCAGAATATGCAACCTATCATGTTATATAGCCTAGTGGCGATTCTAAACATTTAACTTTGTTACTACAGATAAATTTTCACATGGCATAAATTATTAAATATTTTGACATTAAGAATCTGCATTGTTTGCAATCGTTAGATTTTGTGATATGAATCAGGGCAATTCCAACCAAAAAATCCATTTTCCACTTCAAAATACATTAAAACTCCTAAATGCAGTAATTCGTCTCCAATCAAACTCCATTTCGGGTGCTTCTTCATCTCGCTGCAAAGGTACTGTCTTTCTCCTCTTTCACAAGCTTATTCGGCAAATCTGCTAATACAAAAAATTGTCGTAGATGAACAGTACAACGCCAATATTAGTGTCACATTATTCACCTACCGAATTTTGAGTTACGATTTAGTGTTCGAATGGAGCGAATGGCGGACCGCATACTCCCGTATGCAGTTCGATCAGTTAAAGATGATTTTATGTTGGGCTTTTGCCGAAAAGCTCAGAGAGAGTGACGTATAGTACAATTTGACTTCCAACTGCAATCATTGTTCATTAATGATCTTTGTTAACATCCTAGCAAAGAAATCCATCTTTATGAAATCAATCGAGTGCTACCGTCTAATCCCTCTACATGCCACTGTTCCAACCTTCACCTTTATCTACTGCTGAGGAAGGAGGAAAATGAGTAATGCCTTGCAACCAATGATTTTTCTTATTTTATAGAGCTGCATGTGGTGTTTCGAATGAAGGATTAGATCTGAATATGATTAGAGTTTAGTAGCCAATAAGCTTGAAAACAAAAATCGGATTTCCTCCAAGTCTTATCCAAGATTTTGCTGGATTTAAAATGACTTTTGATATTAAACATGCATGATAAAGCGCTACATATCTTAACACTTCTTTCATGAGATCCCCATCTCTATTGGGAGAGATTATTCTGTGCGGACTGGACGGGAGAACCGTCCGGTACCGAATGTACCGACATTCGGTACTGCTCGGTACTGATCGGTACAGAGAGCGGTACACTTTTAAAATGATATGACGCATTTTTATTTGCCTCTGAAAGACTTCCGATTCTGCACAGAATATTTTAGCCTATTGGAGACCAGTATTTCTTACAGATTTATAACATCTACTATCTACCTCTTTTCTCCGGCGACAACCGTGTCAGTGTCTGTTTTTCTTCCCTACTTTGACCTGTCTATCAATGCGGCACCTACTCCAAGTAACAAATCCACTGCAAGATGACCATTGAGATTCGTCTTTTTCAGCTTCTTTGCTGCAGACCTTGAGCACTTGGTTGCCACCGGCCAACTCCCATTACCAACCATTATTGACTCTTCAACCAAGTTCAAATCGAGAAAGATAGAGAACTCTGAATACCTATAAATGCTGCATGCGTACCAGTGAAAAACACATTAATTTTGTTTCACCTACTGCCTCCTCTACATCTTTATAGCAAGGTGAAACCAGTTACATGGATATGGTTACTTATTAGATAGCCTCATATCAATCCCTGGAAATACTTATTCGATTTAAGAAACAAATCCTCATACAAAATTTGAAAAGATTTGATTCAAAATTTCAGGTATTTATAAGAGAAAATAAAGGAAAATAATCTTCGTCCACATTTTAACACCATGTACTGTTCTTTTGTTGGTCATAATTGTTAGCACTATACACCTCAGCTGCCTACGTGTCATCATCTAATTCATTTCTTGTATCTTGTTTTCTTCTACACAACCATATATACATGTACTCTCTATACAATACATATACAATAATAATACATTAGCTCTCCTTTATCTTTCCTGTTCTCCGTCTTCTTCCCTCTGTGGTTCTCTAATGGTATCAGAGCGGTAATGGCGGATCAAGACTCGATGGCATCCCAACCACCCAATTCCGATCTCTCCAATTCCTTATCCAAGTTCATCGCTTCCGGAAGCCAAATTTAATGATCTCTGCTCCAAATTAATCACTCATCAAATGAATGCTTAATTTGAGCGGGCATGTTAGCACTATACACCCCAGCTGCCTACGTTTCATCATCTAATTCATTTCTTGTATCTTGTTTTTTTTTCTACACAGCTATATATACATGTACTCTCTATACAATAATAATACATTAGCTCTCTTTTATCTTTCTTGTTCTCCGTCTTCTTCCCTCTGCGGTTCTCTCAATAATCTTGTTCATGATTAATGTAACGCTGAAACATGATGCATTTACCATCAATCCATCATAGGTGCTGGCCGTATAAAGTTTTCAACGTTCTTGCAAGATTTCAATTCTGACTGAAAGGATGACAGACCAAAGTTTTTTTATGTTTTTTTCCACCTTTTTACTTGCGCGGAAGGCTTGTTTTACATGCTTAAGACCTCTAGAACAAGTTAAATGACTAAAAACCTGTGCTTTTTACTCATATTTCCTTACCAAGTAGATGTGAGGACTGTAGAATTTTATTTATTTATTTACTTATCCTATGGTTTTACTCAGGAATTTAAGTTGATTGACAAACGAGAGCTCGCACCACTCCATGATCTCGTAGAATCAATATTACATGCTTATTGATAAACCACTTACAGACACAAGAACAGATCAACAGCATCTTCCATTTTGAAGAATTTTCAACAAAATTCCAAATTCAAGCTGCAAATGCAAGCATCCGGTGTTCTTTCAACTGATCTCCTTTCATGTTGCAGATCAAACATATTTGTGTACTGATTCTGTCTGAACCTCACTAACTCTGCTGTAATGCAATTTATTTCTGATTGGATGATGCCTCATAGCACTGGTTTCATAGTCTTTTAAGCTGCTAATGCTTCACTTTTTCTTTGTTCATGTACAAAGACAGCTTGTTTATGCAACAGTTGTTGCATTTAGATTTTGAGGTCACGTTATGGTGGGATAATAGCAATTATAAATCAGAACATTTTGCTTTCGGGTAAGCAAAAAATTTAAGGCTTTGTTTAGGATAGCTTTCGTACTGCTTTCTAAAACGGCTTTCTAGTATAAAATTTTCTAATTCAAAAAATTTTTGTAGTAGAAAATTATTTTAGAAAGCAACAAAAAAACATCTAATCAAGCACCAATCTTGATGTATTTGTTTCAGTTATCAATACAAACAATTATTTGGGCCAAAAACTAGGAATTAAGTTTGAGACTTCTGAAATTTAATTTCACAAAACTTAGACAAATTTTCCTCTTATTGTCAGACAAATTAACTTCATTTCGATAGCTTTTTTACTGTTTTCTAAAACAGCTTTTTCAAACATAAAAAAATTGAATAAACAAATCCTATCAAATTTTAATCAAAATAAAAATCAAAATTATTAAATTTATTTGAATATAAATTTAATAATTTTGATGCTCATAATAATTAAAACTTTAAGGCTTTGACAATTTCCGAAAAAAAAAGGCTTTGCCAATTTCCATTTTTCAGGGCAAGAATCTCCTCGTCATTGCCTGCGTCTCCAACTCCTCATCACTCTGCAAAAACAGAAAAATATTAATTTTATTTTAATAAAAATATCTAAAACTTATTTTAAATAATTTAATTGATTTATTTTAAAAAAAGTTAAAAAAATTTTAAAAAATTATTATTTCCTAAATTCTTAATGATTTAGGCTTCATTTGGAATAGTTTTTTTTTTCTGATTTTTAAAACATATTTTAAGTGAAAAATTTTCAAGTTCCAAAAATATTTATACTACAAAGCTATTTATAAAATATTAAGAAAGTTGTCTCAAACGAAGGCTTCGTTTGAAACGGCTTTTCTTACCACTTAAAAATTTTGTACAAAAAAACTATTTTAAAAGCAATAAAAAGCCGTCTCAAATGAAACCGAAGTCTTAGGTTTTGTTTGGGACATCTTTTGTACTATTTTCTAAAACAATTTTTCAAGAAATTTTTATACTAAAATGATGTTTTAGAAAGTATCAAAAAAGCTGTCTCAAACGAAACCTTAATAGTATAACTTAAAAATAGAAAAAAAAAATTGTAAAAAAACTGATCTTGCAATACCTCACACATTTGGCTTTGGATGGTCATGATGAGTTCTTGGTCACCTTCGCTGGAAAGCTCAGATCGGATGGCTCTGATTTTGACATCCATTCCCTTGAGGCAATGCAAGGCGTTGATCACGGAATCAACGGTGGATGTCGTGTTTGGCATCTTGATTTTGATCTCAACTTCATCGGACGGTTCTGATGATCTCTCTGTTGCGGGTTTTGACTTCAGCATGCTCAATAACTCCTTATTTCTCTGTTGCATCTCCTCCTCAACAATCTTAAGCTCCCTCACCATCATGACCGTTGATTCCAATATGGAGTTCCTGCATGCCTGCCGTTGGATCCAAGGGCTCAAATATAATTTTGTAAATTTTGAACTTATTTCTCTCAATATATTTAAACAAGAAATCATTCATTACACTTTTTTTTTTAATGTTACACTTTTTTATGATTATTTATATGTCAATTATATATGTTATATTTATAATATTTAGGTCACTATTGACTACATAAATTATGTCAAAAACCTTATTTTTGAGGTCAATTTACTAATTTATATTATTTTAGGTTTATTTTTAAAAAAAATTTGCAAAAAATTATGGGGGTGTAATGCACTCTCCACTCCCTAAATTAACATCACAGCCCTTAATTAGAATGAGAAAAATATATATATATCTTGATGTAACATGTATTAAGATGTTCAAATGATGCCACGTGTCTAAAAAATAAGTTTTATATATTTTAAAATTAGAATTTAGATATACAAATTATTTATTTTTATGAACATTAAGGCTTCGTTTGGGACAATTTTTTGTTGCTTCTTAAACGTCTTTCTACTATAAAAAATTTAATTTTATATAATTTTTATAGCCACAAGAAAATTATTTTCAAAACTCTCACATAAATACAAGCCAAAAAATATAAAATATTTATTAGTATTGCATACTTATTAACTTGTAAAAGAAAATTATCTTCCACATTAACTGCAGTTAAAATCGTCACAAAAATCAACACATTTTAATTCTTCCATGTCGGTTTTAAAGTCGCTGCTAAATACCTTTGCAGCGGATATCAATCATAGAAGACATGCAGCAGTTGGAAATTAAATATTTCGTAGTGGTTAAAACCACCATAAAAGCCAACTTAGACTTCGTTTGGAACGGCTTACTCTTACTGCTTCTTAAAACAACTTTTCATTAAAAAATTAAAAAATTTTATATCAAAAAATTACTTTAAGAAGCAGTAAAAAAGTCGTCCCAAATGAAACCTTAATGTGCTGCCAAAAATACAAGTATATTACATCGTATAATTTGTTCGAAATTTTGCTCATAGTATACTGAAAAAATATTACTTTATGATATATGCTTTTCTTTGTCATTGCATGCAAGGAAACTGAACTGAAGCAATATAATTAACCTTTGTACCAAGAGGAAGCATGGAGTGCAGATCTTGATAGCTCTGGCTGAGCCGCTCTCGCCGCAGCCGCTCCCTCATCATGTGCTGAAAGTCTCGGCCATTCTTCTCTCCGTTAAGCTCTCGCTTCGATCGATGAATATTACCACCGCCATTATCATCATCCTGCAGTACTGAGTTCAGCTTCAATGGAGGTTTGGTGTAGTTAGAGAGCGCACTGCTCGACGAATCCGATAACGATAATGATGCAGAGGTGAGTGGATCGAATAAGGGATCAGGAGAGAAGACCGAAAGAGGGAGCTCGCCATTGAAGCTGAGCTCCTCTTCAGCAGAGAAGATGGGAGAGGTAGAAGACGATGGGTCCATAGTGTAATTATTGGGCGCTAAAATTTGAATTTTGGATTTTGGGGCTAATGATCGGCCTTTTGTAGGAGAGAGCGTGCGGTGAGTGTGGTCAATGTCGAATGATTGACCGTTGAAGTTGGCAAAAAGTCAATAACGGCGGAGCACAAAAAAAACGTGGGAATTATGTCATGGAAATGGAGCACGTGCAGAATTTATTAAAGAAAGGGGCTGCCCCGGCTGTTATTGGGTTATTTGGTTATTTACAAGTCAAAGTAGTAGACTGTTTGGTCTAGTTGGACCTCATGATTTAAATCTTTGAGGACCGTTGGATCTAAATGGGTCAAGGGGAAGAGGGTGAGTGGACGGCCAGAAATTTCTGAGGGAAGTTATTACTATTATTATTATTATTATTTTATTTTCTCCTTATCATGAAACATTATAATGTTTGGGCTTTGGACTTTGGAAGCTCATAAATTTATAAACATATAGAATATTTAATATTTGTGGAGAGAAATATGTTAGTGTGGAGTGGAAGGAAAAAGGATATAGAGGAGATATGTTAGACTTTGGGCAATCCTCCACTTTGGGAAAAATAAATGCACATATGATGAACCAAATTAATTTTATTTATAATATAATGTATTTTCAAAATATTAAATGATGAGAGAAAATATATATTATGTAAAAGTATATTTGAAAATTATATGCATATAGATGACAAATGACGATGAATATTAATTTTGGCCAATGATAAGTGATGATGGATGTATGATAGTGGATATTGTCATAAATTGATGGTGAATATGTGACTATTAATACTGCCATAAGTTGACAAAAACAGACAAAAGGCGAGCGATGGTGAACATAAACATAAATTAATTACATATAATTTTGTCAAATAGGCGATAGTGTGCCATGGAGATAAATAATAACGATAAATGACGAACATTGACATTTATTGATGGGTCAATCGCAAGCTCCGACGGATAAAGCTTTGGTATTCTCTATGAATTTAGCCTAGATTTATCTTTTATGATAATCCACTTTTAACGTATAGAAATAGAACCTATAGATAGAATTTTGGATTAGTGCTATAGTCATCACTATCATAATCTTGGATGCTGCCTTATACAATCTAAAAATATCCCATTTGCATACCGTTTGATTTTTTTAACATCATGATGCCTTAATTAATATAATATCAAACAAATGCAGTTCAAGCAAGGATATCACAAATATCATTTTATCTAATACTTAACTAAGTGATTTCATCAAATTATGGTTGGTAAAAAACCCTCTGATCATATGGTTAGTCTAAAAGCAAAATTATATTAATGGCCAATTCAATCTTTCAAACTACGCTTGATTTATAAAATTAATCGCCAATGCTTTTTAAAGTTGGAGTGATATTGAAGCTAATTAGAAAACCGTTCAACAGAGAAGAATTATAGAAGCCCCAATTCTGGCAACAGCGAAGGAAGCTGTCTTTCGTCAAAAATATATTTTGTAAATAATTATAATTAAAAACACTCAAAGTACTTTAATTTTTATGTGAAAATGTCCTAAATCAAGTTGGATGTAAAGCCAATATTTAATCACGAAAAGTTAACTAAAATTTCGTTTGAGATAATTTTTTTACTGCTTCATAAAAATATTGTAAAGAATAACTTTTTAAATCTAGAAGGTAGTTTCATGGTTCAAGATTTTTTGAAAGTGGTGAAAAAACAGCAGCCAAATAGGAGAGATTATTCTGTGTGGAGACCGGACGCAGAAAGTCGTCTGGAGACCAACCAGAATGCGCCAGGTCAGCAGTACCGAGCCACAGTACCAAGCGGGTTCGAGCAGTACCGAGCCGCGGTGACGAGCGAAAAGGTGACATGGCGCATTCTGCTTGATCTCCGGACGACGTTCAACGCCAGAATAATTAATCGACAAATAGACATTGTAATTGAGTTCTGAAAAAGAAAGCAATAAAAAAGTTTTCTCAAGCAAAGTATTAGATGAGCAGACCTTAGTAAACATAAATAAATCTGGCAAGACAGGTGCTATTGCATTATGTTGCAAAAATATAATTCACTCACTGTAGTTCCCAACAGCCAAACAGATGCCCTACCCCTCAGCTCATTTGAGAGGAATGAATCTGGAAGAGTGTGGCACCGATCCCAGGCCTTCAATGCTTGACAGGTTCGTAGCTAATAGAGAATTCTGTGAGGTAGTGACCTATCATTTCGGGCTTGATCTCTACCTGGCTGAAAGTCTTTCCATTGTAAAGCCCAACAATGCTCCCAATCATTTCTGGAACAATTATCATGTTGCGGAGGTGAGTCCTCACTGGCTCTGGCTTCTCACCGGAGGAGCTTCCCTTTTCTGGAAATGGCAAACATACTTGTAAGAAGTCTAGCGCAAAATAACAAAACAAAGTTCTCTACAGCTTTAGTTAGGTTAAAAAAACAGTAAATAATTACATTGAAATATTTGTAAATCATAAAATTCATTAAGAGCTATTCAGAATAACAGAATACATCAGTGAGTTGGCGTTGAAGGATTCTGATAGGAAACACTTAAAGATTAAGTAAATTTTATCAATTTTAGAAAAAACAGCGAGAAAATTCTTTCGAACCCCAATGAAAATCAGAAAAACAGAAGTTTTTTTTGCATTAATTAAAGAAACGGAAGGAACATACCAAGATAGAGTCGATCCTCAATTAGAGAAGAGGATCTATCTCTCTCAAATCTCTAGACGCCACCAGAGCCCCAAAAAACCTAAGAGATTTCAAATTTCAGTCAAATTCAAGGTGCCCTAACCCTAGGAAAACAACAATTTAATGCATACAATCCAAAATATGTAAAAAAAAAAAAACATACAATTCAAAAGGTAAAAAAAATTTAAAAAAATTAAATAAAAAATTAAAAAAAAAATCAAAAATCAAAAAGAAAAAAATAAATAAAAATAATTAAATAACAAAAAAAAATTAAAAATAAAACAAATAAAAAAATTCACATACAATCTAAAAGGAAATCTCTAAAGAGTCCCTACATTCAAATTTTCCTCATAACTATCTCAAAAATCCTTCCTAAGCAGTTCTTTTGGATCCTGCGGTTTGATCGGAACGAGCGGGAGGTGGACATTCTCCGCCTCTATTCCTGTGGGTTGGTCTCGTATGGAACGGTCTACAAATACTCCCCTCCAAAAGAACCCATCTTGTCCGCAAGGTGGAAAGAAGACACCCTCCATTCCCTCGTCATCACAAATAGTAAGAACCTAAAGAGTTCGGTACTTACATCTGTGCCCCTGTGTATACTTCTCACACATCTGAAACAAAGTCCATTTGCTCTCTTCTCTTGTAACTCTGTTTATGTGAGCTTCTTGAAGTTGTCTTCAGTTCTTCCAATGACAGTCTTCTCCTTCAGGGTCTCCCGAAGGGTATCCGGTGTCGGCTCCCAGCATGCAAAAATGGTGGTGGTCATCCTATACATGCCTCCTAATTTGTTGCCTTCCACCAACTGAGCTAGCTCCATAGCCTCTCCCAAATCACGAGGCCTCATCACTCTAACTGCTGCTTGGATATCTGGTTTCAGCCCCTTCACATGAAGTTTTCCTCTAGCACGGTCTCAGAAAGCAATCGGCTAGCGAGGTACTCGAACCTCTCTTGGTACTATATCACTAAATCAGCTTATGTCAAGGAAAAGAACTACTCATAAAAGTCTCTTCCTCTGCCGGTTCAGAATCATTCTAACAAGCAATCCTTGAACTCCCTCCAACTCCGTATGGGTAGCCGCTTGTCCCTCCATTGGTACCAAGACAAAGCCTTCCCTTCTAAGCATAGGCCTGCTCTCCTCATCCATCAACATAATGACTATAAAGTACATTTCCACGCTGTAAATCCACATATGTGCATCCTCTCCCTAAAAATAGACATTTTCAGTTTCCTCACACTTAGATCTACTTCGTCAACCCTGTTTCCTCCAAAATTTCCCATTCTACAAAGGGGTGATTCCCCATAATTGTGCCAATCATCCCTCCTCTGTTCGCACCCAAACCTTTTATCACAAGCCCACATTCTCACTTCAAATTCAACACCCATTCAATCATATTCAATCCCTCTCATTTCAAATTTGATACCTCTTCGATCATAATCAAGTTCTCACCTTTCAAATTCAGCCCTCCTTTGGTCATAATTACCCATTTCTCTTTCAAATTCAGTACCCTTCCACTCATGCACAACCCCCTCACACCTATCCACATACCCCCTACCTGATTCCTCCCTAGGAATAGGCCTTAGGGGAGGAATTTTTTTTGTTCCCTCCAAAATCTCCACCTCTTGATTTTCCCTTCGTCTGATCGGCTTAGGATTAGCCCCACTTCCTTGGCTGTCGACACCTTCCCTCACCTCCGATAACAATATTTTGGTTTGGCCCTCGAGCACTTTCTTCAACATCTCCTCCAGGATGAAAATTTTCGAATTTTTTTTTTAAATATGAAACATGAGTTTAGAGGTATGAAATTTCAGATTTTATTTGTCTAAACTCATCTTCCAATACTTCTACTTTTCTTCCAGCCATAAGTCCCCGGATTTTGTTAGGCTTGAAAAGTTGGATTTCCACCCCAAAAACAGCAAAAACAGCGGTTCAAAGGAGACAAATTGTTGCAGGAATCAGCCCAAACAACCTCAGACACCACTTAGGCTCGAAAATTCGGATTTCCACCACAAAAACAACAGTTCAAAGGAGAGAACAAGTACTTTAGGAATCAGCCCAAACAACCTCGGACACCACTCTGATACCAATTTGATTGGAAACACTTGAAGATTTCAAGTAAATCCTATCAATTTCGAAAAAAAAAAAAAAAACAGCGAGAAAACTCTTCCAAACTCCAATGATAACCAGAAAAACAATAATTTTTATTGCAATAATCAAAGATACGGAAGGAAAATACCAAGATACTGTCGATCCTTAAATCGAGACGAGAATATAGCTCTCCCAAATCTCTAGATGCCGGTAGAGCACAAAAAAACCTAAGAGATCTCAAATTTCAGCCAAATTCAAGATGCCCTAATCTTAGGAAAACAAACAATTTAATGCATGCAATCCAAAAAAAAATCTCTAAACAGCTCCTACATTCAAATTTCCCTCCTAACTATCTCAAAAATACTTCCTAAACAGCTCTTCTGGATCATGCGGCTTGAACGGCACGAGCGGGAGGCATACATTCTCCGCCTCTGTTCCCTCGGGCCGGTTTTGTATGGACCGGTCTAAGAGATTCCAAGCACAAGATATAATATGAAGTTTTCCCGCAGCCTGATAAGTTCAAAACACACAAACATACACAACAAAGCTCTGTTCTGTTTTTTCCATAAAGAAAAAAGGCTTTAACATCATAAAAATACTGATTAATCATATTCTAACACCGGGAGTCCCCAAGTGACAATTAATCAAAACCCAGTATATTTTTTAAGAGTAAAAAGAATTTGTAGAGGGAAGCA